AGGGACACAAAAATGACCTTGGGGAGTCATGTTCTCTCAACTAGGGAGTAACGTGTAACTTTTCGTACAAATCAACAATTAGCCCTTATTAGGGACTGATTTCTTATTTGTATGAAAAAGTTACACGTTACTCCCTAGATGGGAGAACTTGACTCCCCAAGGTCATTTTTGTGTCCCTATGGGTGATTTTTCTATTGTTTTTTGCATGGATGACTCACGTTGGTCATCATTGATGGTGTCTTCTGCATCAAAAAATAGTTTGCCATACTCAATTGAGGACGAAACATATGTTGCTGATCATTGATGATGTCAAGTGTATCAAAACATAGTTTTTTCCCACTCAATTGTGGAGGAAAAAGCTCCTATAGGTGTTTGAACCAAGGTAGTTCAAGTCCATGACCCTTTTTGCCCAACTCATACCCTGATATGTCATTTATTGTTGTTACAGTACAAAGATTTTAAATTGCATTTTCAATAAATAATAAATATGTGAACAAGAGGGAAATATATACGTATTAAATAATGTGTTGTTACCTTTGACATTTTTTGACTATTTTAATCATAACTTTCCCCACAGACCTCCAAATAATGTGATTCTTTTTTTATTAGAAAATAGAATAAGAAATCTTTCCATTGACTACTAATTTGTAATTTTTGAACTTCTGAATAGGTACAGTTAATTCCTTAAAGTTATCATTTTATATATTCTATTTTATTTTATTTCTTTATAAACTTGTAACCATCAACCATGACCAACACGAGTCATCGATTGAAGAAATGGACAAAGACAACCTTAAGCATAGAAAAATCACCATGGGGATCACGTTCTCCCAATTGGGGAGTTACTTGCAAGTTTTTTGTACAAATTGCCATTAAACCATTGGTAATCCATTACAGACACCATGTAATCGATTACCAAGGCATGTATCAGCTTCAAGTGCTGAGGGACTTTAACTACCTTGCTAAAACACTCACATTGGTATTTGCTCCACAATGGGCTAGACAAAGATGAGTTTTGATGCACTTGCAACTATCAACCATGACCAACAGGAGTCATCCATTGAAAACAATCTTAAGCATAGAAAAATTACCATGGAGAGTCATGTTCTCCCAACTGGGATACCTATTAAGCCACTAGTAATTGATTACAAGCACCATGTAATCAATTGCTAGAGCATGTCTTGGCTTCAAATGCTAAGGGACTTGAAATACCTTGCTGAAACACCCACATGGGGTCTTTGCTCCATAATGAGTTGGGCAAAGTACAATTTTGATGAAGGTTATTACCATGGAGAGTCATGTTCTCCCAATTGGGTTACCTATTAAGCCACTAGTAATCGATTACAAGCACCATGTAATCAATTGCTAGAGCATGTCTTAGCTTTAAATGCTAAGGGACTTGAAATACCTTGCTGAAACACCCACATGGGGTCTTTGCTCCACAATGAGTTGGGCAAAGTACAATTTTGATGAAGGTTGGAGAGAGGACCAAAATGGAGAGGGATAGAGGAATGAAATATGAGTTGAAAACGGAGGGTGCATAAAGGGGTAATTTCGGAATCCTTAAAAAGGTAAATCTGCATCCCTTTTCACCACAGCGACAACAAAAAAACAAATCCTATGGTCCCATAAGAAGCTAACACGTGACTGTTGTTAAATTGTTGTCAAATTTTAGTTATTAACATATAGCGATCCAAACAAAATATGCCAATTCATAAACTCTTGCAGGTGGTGTGGATCCACGAGTACGAGTTCGACAGAGTATCGAGTCGTTGGTTCGGTTCTAATTCAATAGTGACGCAAGGATGCTCTATTTGTTTTGATATTTTTTATATGAGCTTGGCTGTAATAGAATACTATGGGTTTGAAAAAAATGCATATTAGGGTGATTAAGAATGTGTGATAATAATACTATACTAGTAGTACCAAAAGTACTTATATAGTTACATGTACTCTCTTCGTGCCACTGTAAAAACCAAGGTAATACCTTTCCTGTTGCGAAAAAAAGGTGAGTATGTTCTTCTATAAGAGGCGGTAGAAGAGACAAGGTTCGAGTGTCACTCTTTCGTCTTTCGAGGGTTAGAAAGGGTAGGATGTCTCGCACGTAGGTTTTCTAATTGAGCTGAGTATAGTGCACGTTGTGGAAGTAGCAAAACTTTTACTCATAAGTCTTGAGGAGCAGGAGAGATAGATCTAAAGCTGCGGTGGAGGATGACTCGAACTGTCCTGTTTTGGTGAACAGGTTTTTGGTACAGTAGAGTACAAAGGAGTAGACATTGTTTTGAAGTTATTGAGTTGTGGCTCATTATTGCGATGGTTTCCATTCGAGTTCATTTGTGTAAGGTGTATCATGTTGATAATAGTAATATCTTATCTATGAGTTTTGTGGTATTATTTTATTGTTTCTTTATTTCCTGGTAGCTTAACCTTATTGTTTGTGTATGTTGCGATGATCATATAATATTTTATTATTATATGGGAGTAGATGTTGTTACAGATGTTACATAGTAGAGTGACGAGACGTTGGGGAGAGCTTGGGAAAATATCTTTCTTATGTTTTTAAACATTTTTGCTTAAATTGATGTAATTGTTTTGAATTATTATTTAGAAGTTCACTATGGTTGGTTAAATTTTCATTTCGTTGGTAAGTAAATAAATTGAGATTTGATTATTCGTTTCTCCTAATATTATTAGTTTAGGTATTTTTTTTCCTCACATGAGAAAGTATTATGTTACTTTTGATACCCTATAAAGGGTGTTACACCTTCTGCTGATCACTTTCGTACATAGCTCAATTGTCTCTACAAGACACAATATAGCTTCTGACCTAGTACAAAAGGATACATCCCTACGTGAAAGTGAAAAACTCTAAACAATAGATATTTTTCGAAGAAACCTATATAAATATGACTGCACGAAGAAAGAAAAAAATAGAATCATTGTGCAAACTTTCTTGCTCTTGTTTTCTCTAAAGACTACATCGTCTGATGCTTGTTCTTTGAAAAAGAAAAATTCTTTACAAGTTTTCAGAATCTCTTATTATTGATTTCATATCCTCTCTATGAGCGTTACATATTTTGTTTTTGTAATCTGTAAACACTTTAATGTGTTTCATATTTAGAAGTAAATTCAAACACTTATAAGTTTAACTCAATGTAGTTAAATTGTCTAGTCAGTTAGACTAGTTCTACCAGAAGTGGTTATACTCATCCTAACCAGTTGGGTTAGTTATATGTTATAAGTGATTACACTCGTTATCCTTTATGATTATTGGAATCCCTTAAGAGTGTTTAAGGAAGAACTAGACGTAGCTCAATTTAGAACAAATCAATGTAAAAATAAACGTGTCTTGTTGCTTTTAGTTTTCAAATTTTTCCCTAAACATGGTTTTAAATAGTGTTTAACAACTATTGTAGATTGTCTAACCCCTACAAAAAAAAAATTAAACACTATTTTGGAAAAAGATTTAAAACTCTAATCAAAACCCCTAGAGTTTTTCCAAATTACATTTAGTTTATAAACTTTAATCATATTTAATGATTATAAATTTATTTTACAATTTACTAAATATTACTTGAAACCTATATTTGATTGAATTTAATTCATCAAATAAATAATTAAAAAAAAATCAAGTTTATTAAATATGACCCAAAACTACATGAAATTGAGCATGCATATCATGAAATAAAATTAGATTGACTCAACCAGTTTAACTCATGAACACATTATCAATTTAATTTTAATTAAACACACTAAATTAAATCAATCAACCAAATATTCAACTTGCTAGGTTGAATAGAACTTGGTTATACTCATAAGTTAAATTGTATATGTTACTATATTATTACTCTATAAATTCAAAATTGCTTGGTTGATACACATAGCATCATGTAATAACATAATGATTTAAATATTTTAATTTCTTATCAAATTATCCAATTTTAACTTTATACCTAATAAAAAAACATCATACTTTCATTTTCAAACAATTAATTTTTCTTTTAGAATGTAGCATTTGTTATCAACATATATAATATGTTTATTCAAATGTGACTTAACAATAACAAGTAGCACCTTTTATTGTAAATCTTTAAAATAAGGTTTAATGTCTTTTTATGTCCCTATTTTCGTCCAGAATCTCAAATAGGTCTCTTTCTTTTTCAGCATCTCAATTGGGTTCTTATTTTTGTAAAATTGAATCAAATAAAGACTTTCCGTCAAATTGATCAAACGCAGTTAAGGTGGGTGTTACGTGACATGTTGACAGTATACTATGTAAGGGAAGTTGACATACTAACGTGGCATGCTGACACCTTGGTGGATGGTCGGCTTGGTGAGTCGATCGGCGTGGTGGTCGGTCATTCGATTTGGTGGGTTGGTCGGCTTGGTGGTCAGCCGTTCAATTTGGTGGTCGGTCGGTCAGCTAGGTGGTTGGCCTGGTGGGTGGTCGACCACCAGGTCGAGTGGCCGACCACCAGACCGAGTGGCCGACCACCAGACCGAGTGGTCAACCACCAGGGTGTCAACATGTCACGTCAGAATGCCAACTTCCCTTACATATGTATACTGTTAGTATGTCACGTAACACCCTCCTTAACAACGTTTGATCAATTTGACGAAAAACCTTTATTTAATTCAATTTTACAAAAATAAGGATCCAATTAAGTCACAAAAGAAGAAATGAACCTATTTAAGATTTTGGGCGGAAATATGAACATAAAGAGACACTAAACCTTAAAATAAATATTATTTGTGTACTTTAAAACAAATTTTAAGATAGAAAATAATTATTTCAAATTTTGAAGAAGTTAAGATTAAAAAATATTTCCCTAAATTAAAACCAAAAGTTATTCATTTTATAAAGATTAAACCCAATACACTTTACTAATTTAGACACAAGGACGCGTCAAAATTCGTTTAAATCACTTGTATGTATGCGATCGTATGCAAATATGTGATAAACGCAAGACGATGAATGAAAGAGATAAAGCAGTACTTACCCACAAACTTTCCAATCATGTCCATACTTGACAAAATCAAACCGACTAAAGTACCTGAAAGAACCATAATAAGAAGAAGTTTAAGTCAGTGGCATATCTTTTGTGCTTATAGTTAAGTGTTATAAATTATTCTTCAACCATATGTTTCCTTCATCTCGTTTAGGGATTCTTTTTAATTCTTGATTTAAAGAATATTTTATCGTAATTATGAAATAGATGATTATAATAAATTATATTCAGTATCCGAATGCATAAAGATTAGATATCATGGTTAAATTATATTTCAATTATAATTTTTCAATTTTAAATACACCATTCTAATTTATTGATAAACAATGTTTCATCAGTTATTAAAGAGATATGAAAAAGTGAAAATTCTATGGATTGAATGCTTTCTTCCAAAAAAACATAATTGAATGGCTAATTAATGCAAGAGAAAAAGAGAAAGCATTAGGTAAAAAAGAGGGAAGTACCACCATTTTCGAAACCGTCAATCACTGTCTGGAACAAACTGCTGACCTTTAAATATGCAGAAGGCATTCGAGCCAATTGGTGCAAGACGCGTAAGGATTCAATGGGCAGTTCCTCGTAAGAATTAAGCAATTTTAAAGCTACATCTGCGAGTTCAAACCATGCAACCATTTCAGAATTAACTTCTTTTTATTAAACATTCTATCAACTGCAAACTAGTATTCCATTATATATATATATATATATATATATCTATATATATATATATATATATTAAGTAAATCAAAAGAGCATTGATTTGGAGAAGAAAACGAGGGAAGCAGTGTATATGGATGTACTGTGGTTGATTTGCTTACCAAATATATGCACTTGGATGCATCGTTCCAGAAGCAAAACTCGATTGTGTGAAGACTGCTGATCAATGACATCGGAAGAAGTTCTAAAGAATAGGAAACGAGTCATTCTTTTGCGTCCTGAATTAGCAGCCAGAAGAAGAGGGATCTCACCCTCTTTGTTCTTTATAGCAAGTAGGTTTTCACCACCTTGCGCATTTATAAAGAACTTTGCTATATCAATGTCTCCAGTGTAACCAGCAGCAAGAGCAAGAGCAGTATTACCATCCTCATCCTGCATTTCTAGTAATTGTTTCTTTCCTAATACGACTAACCTCTCCACAATTGTCTTATGTCCTTCTATTGTTGCAACATGAAGAACCGTCCTACCTGAAGGCGGACTCCAAATTATGGCATTCGGTTGACGCTCCAAGTATGAGCTTGTTTCTTTCCAATCACCGGTTTCCACAAACTTGTATAAATCTTTGTGCTCGCTAACGTCGGATACAATACCTGTGTGCGTCTCATTCACATAAATAATATTTTGAATTAATATTATGAGTAAATGTATACTTTATATAAAGAAAATCTGAAGATACATCTAAACACTTAGTACCGTGTCGAATATGCTGATGGACTTTAAACTCAGACCTGCAGACATTAGCCAAGTGATTCCAAGCTATGTGGGAAGTTTGAAAATGTTTAATTTGATCAAAAATATTTGGTGCACATGATAGTTGAATAATATGCAGAGCCTTTGCGTTTCTCTGTGCATCAAAAACAGAATCACTCTCCACAACTTCCCACAGATTTTCCCCCCTCAAATAGTTTTCCATTAGAGTTTTCCATTCTTGATAGTTTTCTCTTGTGAGCACTTCACGAACTATTCCTCGGGATACAACACCAATGCGTTCCATTACACTGTCTTTGCCTTTACTTTACACTAGCCTTTCCTTGCTTCACATCCTTTATATAAAAAGAGACAATAACATAATTTTATTTTTAACTCTTTGTATGGTGAATTCTGCAAGAAAGGATATTTTTGAAAATAAATATTTTCACACTATTTTTTTTATTACATTTGATACTGCATAAGTGTTTTTTTTACTACTTTCAATATTTTTTTTATTGTACTTACATATTATAAATTCAATGATATATATATATATATATATATATATATATATATATATATATATGTACTAAAATGTTTGTAAAAAAATTGTATTATCGTATCATTGTTAATTATTTTTTGTAAATTTCCCAAAAATGACTTTTTTTACTGCATATAATTTGAAGTTGTTTGTACCAAACACTGCATAAAGTAAATGTGAACTTTAATTGACATGGAATCATTGTACTGTATAAGTAACTGTGTTAGACAGCTTTTAAATGTATAAATGTGCAAGTACACTATTTATTGTTTCTTCAACAAACAAACTTCTATGATCTTAATTCTTCGTCTTTGTAAGTACTGCCTAGGATAATATTATATAAGTTAGGCTAATAAACTCGTATACTTAAGTTAAATAAGTTCACATGCTTGTAAAATAAATTATGATATGCCAAAATTGAGTTATTAAATACTGGTAAAACTAGTTTTATTAAGTTTGTTTGTAAAACTATAATAAATTTATAATATTAAAGTTTATAAAACCAGCTTAATTAATTAATACGAAATGTTTGATCAAATTCCCTAATAAAGTAGTTAAAAATGTCATGTAAAAATTTAGGAGAAATACCAATATTCACTAATGAATAATATTCTTCTTCCCAAGTTGTGGGATACTTGCTGGAAGAAACACATGCAACACTAGTAAAACAGAAGCTTTTTAACGCGCTATATATGTCTAAGTTTTACTGAAACCGAAGCATATAATAGCGCGGTGGCATTTTTGTAGTTTTAGACAACTTATATACCTCGGATATCGGTAGAACCGAAAAAGAAAAGCTTTTCAACATCTGTTACACGTCAACCGAGACATATAACCCGTATATGTTTTTAAATTTTAATTATTTTCCGAAACTTTAGGCATCAGGTATGCTTGAAACGGAGTCAGTCTGCCTCTATTACCTCAGGTAAATATGTAACCGAGGCAGTCTCATACATATCTTTGCTTTCACGGTACCTTTCTTACTCTTCCTCTTCTTCTCTCTCGCTCAGATCTCCTTCTCACAGTTCCTCTTCTTCTCTCTTCTCTCTCGCTCAAATCTCAAAGCCACCACTCTGGCGCTCCGCCGCCACCACTCCGTTGCTCCATCGCCACCACTTTGTTGCTTTGCTTTCACGGTACCCTTCTCACTCTTCCTCTTCTTCTCTCTCGCTCAAATCTCCTTCTCACAGTTCCTCTTCTTCTCTCTTCTTTCTCGCTCAAATCTCAAAGCCACCACTTCGCCGCTCCGTCACCACCACTCCGTTGCTTCGTCGCCACCACTCGTTGCTCCGCCGTCGCCACCTCTCCTTCAACGTCGTCGCTCCGTTTTTGCTGCCCAAAGCCATGGCTGCATCCCACCCTGCAACCCCTACCCGTCACGCCTCCCACCCCGTAACCCCAACCCCACCACCAATCGCCACCCAATCGGATCCATCAAACCTAGGACCAAAATTTTAATTTTTAATTTTTTGTTGGCTTGGTTGACATTGGGTTGCAGACAGGATTCAGAAAGTAAGAGTTTAGAATTTGAACTTTGTTTTTCCAATGCATATGAGAGTGAAGTGCAGATCTCTGTGATATAGGCAAAAAAATGGAGTACAGGACAATCAAAGATGAGGTGAGGTGATTGCTTTAATGAAGAGTTAGTTAGCATATTTCTTCTCTCAACCGATTGGTCTTAATTATTTTGATTTGATGTGTTGTTGTAGGATGAAGTTAGGGACGAGCCCTTGAAGATGTTAAAAAATCATTTTTGCTTTCACGTACCTAATGTCGCTCCTCTGATGTAGAATCCATTTCTAGTTTTCACTTTCTGTATAAACTCCTTTTCTCCATTAAATTGCCTCTGGTTTATATTTTGCAGGATAGTGAGCCTGACATCATCGATGGTGTGGTTAGTATGTGTGAATTGTGGATTGGAAGAGAGCACTAATGAAAGCCTAATACATTGCGGCCAGCTTCGGGATAGAGGTTTAGGGTTTGGAGAATCAAATATGGGGTTGGAGTGATGTGGGAGTAGCTAAGGTGGAGGCGCTTCAAAATTGAGAGAGGGTCTCCGGTTCTTTCAGAAGCTCATTGTGTTAGCAGGGGTGCCACCTACAACAATTATGATCGTCGTTGCTCACCATTGTCAACAACCATCACTGTCACTGTTGGCAGAGGGCTATTTCCGGTCGACACGTCTCTAACCCTATTTCATTAAAAATCTCCTAATTCGAAGAAATTCTTAATCTGGACAATTAAATAATATAAGATAACACGTCATATAACACTTAGACAATACTTAATAACAAATTAAATAAAAATTCCACGTAATATAAGACATATATATATATATATATATATATATATATATATATATATATATATATATATATATAGCTAATCCAAGTAAAGAATGGAGATAACGAATGTCCAAGAAGAGAAAAATAGAACGTTGTTTATAACTCACGTGCAGAAGGAAGAGAATAGAAAGTTTCACTACGAACGTTTAAACGAAAACTGAACGACTAATCAGCAAGAAAACCCACTAAATGAATTAAAAGTTGGTCTATTTGACAGTTACTGTTTAAGAAGGAGAGCATAGAAACTTTTCCAATTGATTGGTGGAGAGTATCAAATTTCTTCAGTTTATGCAAGGACTGAACTGCTTGGTTCTTGGAGAAAATGAGACTTCATCTCTAACCCATAATCGACTCAAAACATGCGTATGCCCAGGTCTTCCTGTTTTGGGATTTTTCCTATCCGTCTGGCCGTTCGCTTGGAGTAATAAGTTGAACAAATCATCAATTGGTTTCCCCAACTTACTCTTCAATGATTGTACAGTACTAAAAGATGAACTAAAGCAGATGAAAATCTCTACTTATCTTGCTACTAGATTGCGTTCTAAGGAATCCGACTACTCCCCTACTGCTTCTCAACTGATTATTATAACGCACATACCCTTGGTCAACCCGTCCCTTAACTAATATAATATTATGGCTTTTTGACCGTTCGATAAAGGTAATTGGCTTAAGTTCTTGATAATCCTATGTCGTTGTCATGCTCTCTCGAAGGTTCTACCTTTACCTTTTGTCATGCTACCCATAACCCGCACGATGTCCGCTTTCGTAACCGACTATCAAGAATGATTTTCTAACTGCTTAACTCAGATCCTTGACAAACAGTTCATATACTACCTCCAACTGAAACGTCTGATGCCATTCGATTCTAGTCCTC